AATATTTCCTGAGTACTTACATGAGTAACTGAGTACTCACTGAGTAACAATACTCAGAAATTGTTAGTAGTACCAATATGAGTACTCATGGACGAATCATGAATAAAGTCGTACTCATCGTATGAGTACTTTCACTAGGGTAAGTTACAAGCAATTTAGTTTGACATACAGCTGAGAGATGAAACATGTCAGAAAAATCGCAATATCGAATTAACAAATTTGTTTTCCATCTATGAATGAACAGTTCGAAGTGAAGGGCTGTGGGAAATGTGCGTTTATAAAATGTAGTCACTTGGAGAAAATTCTATACTTTAAACTGTTTTTTCTATTATATCATAAACATTGATCTCTTTCTTTATTTTTTTACTTTTCTTCCTTTCATTGCGGTAGTCTCTAGTTATCTAGAGATTTTGTTTATATAACTCATAAATCATAATATTCAAGCTTTTGTTTCAGTCGTAAAGTCTTCAAAGAAAACAAAACAAATAATTTTTGAAAAAAAATTAAGAAACAACAAAAAACCGCATAGGAGGACTCGCTATTCCAGGAAGACGAAACGTTCTCCTTTTCTAGGTAAACAGGAGGAGAATGACAAAATATCCTATGCGATTCCAGGGTTCTCTTTAATACTTTTTGAAGAAAAATAAATCAAAGTTTAAGAAAAACATTGTTGAAAAATGTTTTACAACCACTGCAACAGGCTGATACCATACTTTACTTTATTTATGACGTAAAGAATCTAAGAAGTTCCTTAAGATGGGGAATCAATTTTTTTGCTCACTAAACTTTTTAGATAGAAACAATCACCAAATAAAGATACGTTTGATCATCAAAATTTTCAGCATCATACATATTCATTGAAATATTAACCAAATGAACAATATTTTCACAGTTTTATTTATATCTATTTACAAATTTAAAGCTGTGCAAACTTTCATGGAAGGTCCTTTTACTTTTCGTTTCGCTAATGGTTGAATACGTGTTTTATCACTACGTTGATACGAGTTAAATAAAATTGCTAATCCAACAGACTGTTTACACGAATATACTTTGATGCCAATCGGGCAGCTACATGATTCTATAAGCTAACAGGATTGTCGCCACATCAGACAATCATTGAATGTAAGCCACTGGCGAGAACGATAAATATCTAGCCAATTCAATGATTTTCTGGTATGTTCAACCATTAGGCAAACGAAGGCAAAAGGGCTTCCCAATAAAGTTAGCACATGGTTTAAATTTGTAAATAGAGATAAATAAAACGTTAAAAATAATGTTCATTTGGTTAATATTCCAATGAATATGTTTGTGTTGTACATTATACTTCGTTGAGAAATAAAAATGTGAGATCATGCTGGAAAATCTGGTGGTCAAAAGTATCTTCATTTGGTTCAAGAGTACATTTACTCCTTAGGACGTGAAGAAAACAGAATCTTTCAGTGAAACAGTAGAAAAAGCTTAATGGGTAGGTGAAGGGGTAGAAAGAGTGAATTCATCTACATATGAATAAAATACCAATGAAAACAGAGTGAATCACTTCTCGCGCTTCTCTCATTCGTACCTGTATAACCATCGTATCAGCAATATCCCATGCAAAAAAGAGATCTGGAATTTTCTCACCAGTACTTTCTTCTAGAAACGTGAATAAATCCTAAATGTAAATAAAATTCTTTTAGTATAAAAGAATCTCAATCTTCAAAACATATACTTTGAATGCGTTATTAATTCGCTTTATTCGATCACTTTGTCTCAATTCCTCCACGAGTTCTTCGTATCGAGGACAATTACTGACACCAAGAAGCTAAAAACCAAACGAGAATAAGTATAATCACTTTTATATTGATATTTAGCTCTTTATACATGATCTATCGCTTTAGGCACAGTATGCACTGGTATCGGTTGCCAAGGTTTCATTAAAGGTGGTACTGGATATTCGACAATGGACGTAGCTTTATCTGTTGGATAGAGACCCACAAGATTGCAATAGGCAGACATTAATGTACGATCGTAATCTGTGCTGCGAACATACACCTAAACATAGAATAGACTATAAAATTTGCAAAAATCCTTCTAATAATTAGATACAATTATATTATAGCCTTTTGAGTCAATGTTATCAAATCAACGTTAGTTCAGCCTTTAATACTTACTTCACTAGCAACATAGGTAGAATTCAATAAATTCGTGTATCTTTTTCGGATATATGTCCCTAAATTCATTTGCTGAATTTGCCCTATAGGCGTTAATTGCCCATAACCGTTTGGCCAGAATGATTCAGGAACGGGGTTCGTCACATGAGTATAAGATGGAGTGCGATCTCCATGTCGATACAACTAAGCAAAGAGCATAAAATAGGTCCATAACATTATATGACAGAAGACTACATACCACATGAGTACCGATTAGTTTGTATTGTGCATTGCAAAATGAAATAGTAGCCAATAACAGCAAGAAAACTTTAAGCACATGCATTATTAAGCAAAAAATGACTTTATCCCCTTTTCTCTTTTACCTCTGAAATTATATTTAGATTGTCTTTAGTATCAAAGCGTCTTTTTTTCTATTATGAAGGATTAAAAAATAATCGAGACATTTATATTAAGGTTATAACTAGAACGAAAATAAAACCCCTTCAGATATAATAACGAATATAAAAATCGAAGATTTTATGCATCAAGTTGATGTCGACGAATTATTGGACGTTTGATGGACAGAGTAATCACTGTAACATGCTTATGGGTTAGAAAGGAGAAAACTATATGCCATACAACATTTTTCATTATGCAACCAAATTCGCTCTGTTCGAAGTCCATGTATGTCTTACATTTGAGAAAATCATAGAACTGTCTGTATAGCGTCCACAAACGCAGCATTCGAAAAGCCGCTGAGAATGTGCCCGATAAAATAAGATTGCATATCCCTGTGTTATCCATGATTAGGCAGCTCAGGTCTTCCACGATATTTCCTGCAGACGTGCGTAGACCTGTTCATAGGATTTTAGGCTGCTGGAGTGAAATGTCAGGCTTTTGCAGCAGGATCTGCCGCATTGCGTTTTTTTGTATATATATATATACGACGGATGTCAAAATGAGAGTAACAGTGTCTGTTCACCGATTGGACTTCAGTCAGACTTAAAATATTTACATTGCTGTCCTTTTGATTGTGACTGTTTTCCATGTGTTAAACGCTGATAGTGGTGTAGTAGATTATGGAAGAGAGAGAACAATAGGACTCAATTTATCAGTACTGACTTAAATTCAAGACTCAAGAATACAATTGAAGATGAGTGACTGGTTTAGAAATCAAACTCTGAATCTCGACACTCGGTCTAACCACTAGCTTACCATTCGCCACACGCTTTGTTAATGGTCGAGTAGAATACTTGAGCTTGGCATGAAAAACCAACAATCCAAAACAGAACCACACATCGACTATTGCCCAATTTTGCTCTGATAGCTAAAAAAACGAACAGAATTTAATTGATCTGTTTTATCCGATACAAGAGAAAAAGAAAATTAAGACTTTCTTTACGATATACTAGCGAATCTTTATAATCGAGAAAAAAATCGGGCAGATAGAAACGTTTTATTTCGAATAAAAATACGCTGGCATGATGGAAATGACACGAACAAAATGTAAATAATTAAAAAATCATAGTTTGGGTTTTAGTCATCGGTGTTAATGTGGATAGTACACATTACTCATGTCAAATTTTTTTCAAGATTTCTGCAGAAATGTGCGTTTTTGGCACTTTTTTGGGCCACACTGACGCCACGTCAGAAAAGGCATGGTTCTTATGCGTTTTCTTGCGCGATACTTTTCCCCACAAAAATCAACATTTTATTGCAGTATCTATTTTTTGCGTTATACTGCGTGTGTTTTTTCAACACAATTTTCATAAAAACCGTTTTGGTTTAACAATGCAAAAAGAACGATGACTCATTCCGGTAAGCCGTCATAACTAGTGTATAATTTGAAAAATGGAGTCTGTGTAGCTTTATATTTCTTTTCTATTGAAAATTACTAAGAGATTTTTCGAAGTAGCTCATCCTAGCTGAAAGGAGACTAGCCGCGGATCGTAATCTGCTGTCGCAGACCTGGGATGAGTGAGGTTTATCTGTGGGCGGGTTCGATGAGCCTGTCCGGTGGTTGTCTGAGAAACACATAAAGCTTTATTGGTGTAATTACAGACAATAATATTTTATGCATGAAAAATGATGGCATTTTCCTGCATTTTATCGCAAAATCTTTTTGTTTTTGCAGAAGAATTTCATGCATGTGATGTTACGTGAGGCACGGAAATTTTTACTATAGATTTTCGCAAAACAACGGATCCGACTTCTTTACATTAAATATCTCTCGAAAAACTGATATAGGTATGCTTTTAATAGTAGTTTACCAGGCAGATATCAGAATAAAACTATCATCTTTCTTCCTTGGCACACGTGTGTGTGCAATGAGAAACGAAAAAAATAGCCAACAAAGTAATCGTTAAAAAACAATGTAATCAGAGTTGTTGAGCTAGAGTTCAAAGTTCTCATAACAATTCTTACTCCGGAGTTGGAGTTGCCCATTTCTACATTATAATCTTCTTTATTCTTGTTTAAGTAGAACATAAATAACTATGACGTTTTTATGCGAGGCTCTTAATCCTATTTGTTCAAAGTGTTCTCTAAAGAAATGGTACCATGCTGAATCTTTCAAGGTTCGGTGGAAGGAAAGGTTCTGTACAGATCAATCTTATCGCATTCTATAATGAAAGATTTTTGGGGAATATTTTCTGAGGTGGCAATTGACCATTCGCTCAGTCCAAGTGCAATTTCAGTATTATAGAGCGATCAAGAAACAGGCCTGTATTTCTTTAAATTTTCAAAAAACCTGTTTAGAAAGGGCATAGATCAGTTATGTTAATGCAGTAAAATTGTTCTGTACAGAACTTATCTTCTATTGAATCATTTAAAGGTTCTTCAGATTAATTTGTTTTTTAGAGCGTACACTGGACGATGTTCCTGTCAATGTTTAAGCCATATAGACTCTTCACTAAACAAATACAATTTATTAAATAATTCAAAATGTAACACCGGTATATCGAGCAAGTGGAGTGCTTAATTAACGTTCTTTATACCCTATTAACAAATGAACTTAGAGCAATCCCAAACGCTTGTATTGCGCACAATGGATATTTGTAATTGCAAGTGAATGTATTGTCAGAAACACGACCAAATTGGAGAATAATGTCTTGCTCTAAACAGAACAGAAGTATATAGATGTAATAAAAGATAGAGCAAGTGCGCATGATTCTGGTGGAACTTCAGAACAACACTCAATCAACACTCACGGGCTAAGATATGAAAAAAGATCATATCGGTGATCACTGAACCGATTTGATGAAAATGATCAGGAAACGTTAGTTCCTGAAGAAATAAATAAACACCGTAATTCTGTTTTATTCCTGCGATGTCCGAGCTGAGCTGGCTATCGACTTGCCGGACAACCGCTTTTGACAAAAAGGCGTCTGTTTTTCTTCTCGAAAATCACTTTTTAGGCAGAAAAAGCTGAAATTTGTTAGATGCTCTCACAAGCTGTAAAGAGAGTCAAAATTTTAAAAATTGTGTTCTGATAATGTTAAAAACATTTTAGATCATAATTCAAAATCGTGAACACTATTAGCCACTAGCTACTCGTATTGAATGTCTCCGAAATCCTCCCCATATAGTATATGAGGAAGAGCTCACACAACAACGGACGACCTGACGAGAAAAACACGATTTAGCGCGAACAGAAAATATCATTTTCTTGGAAAAGTACAAATAATCGTTGGCTATATTAAACTGGTTAAAATATCTTTGTTGCTTCTTTTTCGTCGTGGAGAATGCGTAAGTTGAAAAATAAACTTCGATTAGAGGCACGAAAAAGTGTTTTTTTCGTATTCAGCATACTCGATCACTTAGAAGATTTTCTATTTTTGGCCTGGGATACTGCCGAAAGTTTTCAGAAAAGTTTTGAAACTAATATTATTTTCCCATGGAAATTATTGCTCGTCATTTTGTTTGAAAACTTTTCCTAAACTTTTAGCAGTATTTCTCGTTAAAAATACAAAATCTTCTGAATGATCGAGTATACTGAATATGAAAAAACACTTTTCCGCGATTCTAAATGAACGTATTGTTTTCTTCACGTCGATCCGACATCATTTTTTGACGTGTAGAGGAGAAAGACCCATGTCCTCGAAATCGCTTCGGTTTGGATGATTAATCGCGATTTTGCAAAATATTAACGATTAATCGCGATTTCGACAAAAAATCGCCGATTAATGGCTAATTTTTCCAGAAACCACGATTTATCACCATTATCAAAAATATCGCCAGTTAATCGCAATTAATCGTCGATTTTGTTATATTGACGCTAAATTACGGTTAAATCAGTTATTTACTTAACTTAATATTTTTCAACTCAGAGAAAGA